TGTAAAGACTTAGATGGAAGTGGTGGGAAACGCTGCCAAACATTTCCCACTCCAGTATCATCATGCTGCTCGTTACTTAGGGCTGTCTGGAAAGAAAAGCTCTATACTCATGCATACATTAGGCTCCAGGCCTACAACTCTGATGCTGCTGGCATACGTTTCTACAACAAGCTCACTGTTCTGAGTTTTATGTTAAGTTACCTGAAGTTGTACAAACCTAATTTACCTATGCAACCCCTTCACCATTGTTTCAGTTATAAAGCAGAATGCTAAAATGGCCACATGCCAGGACTGTTCAGATCACAGACCAGCCCTTGGCAGAGATTTTCCTAACAAATCCAAGTACGTTGCAATATACTAGACTACTATGGTTGACATAAAATACTCACAACTCATGCCTGAGGTGATGTACAGATTTTTAAAAAGGGAAAGAAAACCAGAATTAATATGTGAAGACACTCCAAACCAATTTTAAAAGTCAGTTACAAAACCTGAATTATCTATTGTTTCCTTTTTAATAATAAAGCTATAAAACCTATACCGACGACTACACACACATGCCTGCTTCGTCTGGTGGTGCATTCTTTAAATGTCTACAATCAGGTTACCTTGTGAGTGCCAATGATGTCAGGGAAGCAGCCAAGAAAACCTTTATACTCGTGATTACATTCCATCAGAAAATGGAGATCTTTCTTTGGCTATAACAAGATACAAGCTGGTTGTTACTGGCAGAGAAATTCAGAAAATCCAGGAAAAGGTAACTATTATATCCAAAGACTATAAATCCTGCATGTGCTACACTAAATTACTGAGTGTGAAGCATTCACATTACTTTTTCTAAAAGGAAATAACTCCAAAGACTGCCATATTTTGAATCATATGTTGTAAAGAAAATGACAAAACATATAATATTTAAGTTGGTTTGTAAAATTATTTTGACATGGCCCAAAATACACCACCACAAAGGAAAAAAGTTCATCTAATACTGTACGTTTATATACAAGCAAATGAGCTGCTGTAGTTTAACTTCTAAACATGAGCAGAGAACATAAAAATATTATTAAAACACCTAGTAATCATTTTACATTTTTCCATTTTTTCTGAATTATAATTTTAGTAGCTATGTTACTCACATTTCTAAAATGAATACTTTTTAAATCTGTTATTTAAACAAAAAACAAAAAACAAAAAATCCTGAAATTGGGCTTCTAAAGACTCCAATAAAAGCTAAACCTATGTGGCTATGACAAGGACCTGCCCTGCCCTGGGGACTGTAGCAGGTGCTTTTTATTTATGAGCTCTTAAATCTTGAGAATCATATAGGGTAGGCACTACCACTGCAGATGAACAGATGAGGAAACCATGGCTCAGAGAGGCTAAGCAATAGTCCATACAGACCTGAGCCAGCGTTCTTTCCTGTTCATTAGAATCCACTGATGGCTAAGAACGGATTGCAGGGATCAATGCTGGATTGTATTCATTTATATTTCTTTTTCTTTTGAGATAGAGTCACACTCTGTCACCCAGGCTGGAGTGCAATGGTATGATCACGGCTCACTGTAGCCTTGACTTCCCGGGCCCAAGTGATCTTCCTACCTCAGCCTCCCGAGTAGCTGGAACCACAGGTGTACACCCCTACACCTGGCTAATTTTTTTTTTTTTTTTTTTTTTTTTTTTTTGAGACGGAGTTTCACTCTTGTTACCCAGGCTGGAGTGCAACGGCGCGATCTCGGCTCACTGCAACCTCCGCCTCCTGGGTTCAGGCAATTCTCCTGCCTCAACCTCCTCAGTAGCTGGGATTACAGGCACGCGCCACCATGCCCAGCTAATGTTTTTGTATTTTTAGTAGAGACGGGGTTTCACTGTGTTGACCAGGATGGTCTCGATCTCTTGACCTTGTGATCCACCCGCCTAGGCCTCCCAAAGTGCTGGGATTACAGGCTTGAGCCACCGCGCCCGGCCTACCTGGCTAATTTTTAGGGGTTTGCTGTGTTGCCCAGGCTGGTCTCAAACTCCTGGACTCAAGTGATTCACCCGCCTTGGCCTCCCAAACTGCCAGATTACAGGTGTGAGCCACTGTGCCTGGCCTATTTAGATTTCTTGATGACAAATTTATCCACCCACTTTGGCTTAACCTAAGAAACCATTATTAAATACAATTAACAAAGATACACAGAAACAGAAAAGAAGAGGGTACTTATTTGGGAAGTTTGTCATAAGATAGATTTTAAATTAAAATATGTGGACTAGACAGCCTAAAATCTTAATTAGAATTGTGTGATTATGTTAGTACCTGTTCTGCCACAAGACTGGCAATTTCTTCATAAGTCTTTCCTGCTTCTGTTATTGCATCGTTGAGATCTGTTTCACCTGAAAATGATCAGTTTTATCAGTGGTTACAAGTTACATACATTTTCTTTTCACTTATTAAAAATTTTATTATAGATTTGGCTGGTAAATATTGTTGAAGCTTTCAAACATTTTCAAAACTAGTGGGAATAGAATGAATGCCCATCGCCCGCCATCTGCCTTCTCCACTGGCAGTGCTCGCCAGCCTTTGTTTACCCACACCCGACACCCTCTCACTGGACAGCAGCATCTCATCCACAAATCCTGCCTAATAGTTGAGGACTCTAAAACATAAGGCAGTACCATTATGACACTAAGACGAGACTGTCACTCTGCTACAATGAGGCCTCTCAGGGCAAGCTGGCTGCCTATATCAGGCTGTAAAGGTCCACAAAGCACAGAACTGATGTGTTTCTTACATCTGTGGATTCTTCTCCCTCACCCCCTTTTTTCCCTTCACATTTCTTTTTGTGGGGTGCTGTACTCAACACTAAGTGCAGCAGCCTAGCCAATTTACACACCAATAACCAGGGTACTTCACTGAGGAGGGAGTTGTCATCCACAGGATCCTAAGCAGCCGACAGGTCTGGAAAAGGCTCTAAAGGCCAACTGAATGAATGAATAAAGACACACCTTGATAGCCACTAGAACTGAACACCGTGGCTAAACTCTGCAAGGCCTTTCCTATCTTCTGATATTCCTTTGGTAATGCTGAAAGAGAAAATGCAATAAACCATTAGTCTTCTGAGCAAATTGAAATGGGATTAAACTGTTTCCTAAAAGTGATTATGTTATAGAAATGAAGTGATTCAAAATAGTCTATATTCCTTCATAAAATATTGTTGCAAAAGTGATTGTTTTTCAATGAATGATTTTTTGGATTATTTTTAATTGATCGTTCAATTAATGGTAGATGCCATTATTACTGACAATCACTTCTGGTTTCTAGTTTACCAAGTACTTTCAGCAAGACTGTGCTTGATCATCATGATAGCCCCTCTACCAGATGCAGAGATACCATCCTCATGCTGAGGATTAGGAAAACAAGGCTCACATAACTGACTTGTCACATGGCTAATAAATGGTGGACGTGGACTTGCGATTCCAAATACGTAGCCTTTCCCCCTCTGTTACGGATGCATAAATGACCATTTAAAAACCATAACCACCAAAGACTGAAACCAACAAGATGTGGAGAAAAATACAACAGTCAGACTTTGCAAGACCAGAGAAGCGGGGTCTGAGTTTCCTCATCTGTGTAATGAGATGATTTCACTAAACGGTCTCTAAGGTTTCTTTTTAAGGTACTAAAATTCTCGCATCACTTTGGAGAACTCCCAAGAGTCTCTGCACCTTAGGCTACTTCCTCTGCATTTGTACAGAGTCCCCTTAAATGTAGCCTTTCAAAAGAAACCGTTATTTGCATTTAGAGACTCATTACAGTTTTAAAGGAGAAAAATTAAACTTTTAATGTTTCTTTAAAAAATATTTTGGCCAGAGACATTTGAGTTGAGTTCTATAAGCTGCAGTTATCAGGAAACATGAATCCAAATTACAGGAGCCTAATAAAATTCCATCAGTTAATTTAATAAACTGTCCACCCTGTAGTGCCTCTGTTTTTGCCTCTCTACCTGAGGCTGAAGGCACCTGGCATGTGGTTCACCATGCAGAGTGTATGCTGTTTTCATTCTACACACCAGGAATTTTAAAGAACTATTTTGAGTAAGAGAAGGAGATATGCCTGAGTCAAATCCTAAACAAAGTGCCTCAGTCCCTTTCCCCATCCCACAGAAGAGTAGCCTGAAGCCAGGATTTTCTTTCTACATTTAGCCTTGTGGATTACATAGGACATAGAGTTGATCAGATATTAGACATATGGGATTTAATTCTTTAAAAGATACCTTAATTCCAAATTTTTGTGATATCCTTAAAAAATGGGATTGTAAAATTTGCACTCAGGAAAAATGGCTTTCGAAGAACATATGGATTTAAATGATGTGTTATGATGGTCTTGTAAGAGTTTACAGTCAAAATTAATTCACTGCCTTTAAAACAGAATTCCTTCATTCTTACTTTAGAGGATCAGTCCCCCAGCCTTTCTGGCAACAGGGACTGGTTTCATGGAAGACACTTTTCCACCGGTAGACAGCAGGCTGGGGGAATGGTTTGGGGATGAAAGTATTCCACTTTAGATCATCAGGCATTAGATTCTCATAAGGGCTCACAACCTAGATCCCTTGCAGGTGCGGCCCATAATAGGGTGTGAACTCCTCTGAGAATCTAATGCCATCGCTGATCTGACAGGAGGCAGAGCTCAGCTCAGGCGGTAATGCCTATAAATAGAGATGAAGCTTCACTTGCCTCCTGCTATGCACGGTCACGGTCCATGCACCAGTCCATGGCCTGGGGATTGGGGACCTCTGCTTTAGAGAACAATGTCAACTTTGCTTTTTGTTCATGAGTCATCCTCTGTGACCTGTATTGACACAGGTTTTGTTTTCTAGATGCTGTATTTGTATACATTATTTTCTCAGGGCTAATTCTATGTATTTAGGATACAGCATCATGTTTCCTTGCTATGGGAAAGAAGCAACTGTTATTCCTCGTGTCTGCACCTCAAGCACAAACAGCTGGTATGCTACAAGTTTCACTGGAATAAGAGAATATGTGGATGGCAAAGTGCCACTGGTACTGGTATTGCTGCTGGTAGAGGAAGAGGTAGAGTAGCATTGGCCAATGGCTGAGGTAAGGCAGGGCCTGGAAAACTTCCTCTGCAAAGTGCCAGATAGTAAATGTTTTAGGCTTTATAAAGCCACAAGTTTCTGTTGAAACTACTCAACTCTACCATTATGACACAAATGTAGCCAAAGACAATATATAAATAAATGGGTATGGGTGTGCTCCAATAAAACTTTATTTACAAAATAGGTGGCAAGCCAGATTTGGCCCTCAGACTACAGTTTGCTGACTCCTGGTGTAAGGCTTTGGATTTTCAGATCTGGATTGAATAAACAGTAATATTGCCATTGTCTTTCCTGTGCTATCTTATTAATTCATCTACGGGTCATTCCACATTTAGTTTCCTGCTTTTTAAAATTATTATTGGATTTCAAATTCTGACTGTTTTCCTTTAGTATAAAAACCCCACCTTAAAAAAAAATTAACAGATCCTTTTTCTCTGCTGAGCATCAAAGGGCTGATATATATTACTCATAATTTAAAATATAAGTCATTTAAATTTTTTTAAATGGAATATAACCAATATTTCTGTACAGTGTTAGAAGGTGAAGGCCAGAAAATTCTTAGTGATAGATTAGAAGTCCCTTTTCTCCAGAGGTTGAGACATAGCAATAAGGGCAAACCAGACAGAAAGGAGAGAAAAGTCCTAGCACTCTACTAGGTAGTCAAAGACATCTGCGCGTTCAACAGCAGTGTGATCCCAGCATTTCAGGGCCTGACAAGTCATTCTGCAGCCTCTGAGCCTGAGGGGCAACCGGGCAGCAGCCGGCAGCATTAGCCCCACAGCTGGATACGTGACTGTTTTTCGATCCTGGGCCACATGTGTGGCGACAAAGCTGCACAGTTCTGGGGAATACAGGAAAAACGTTCAGCAGAACCACAGCCTACACACAAAGGAAAAAGAGGGAGGCAGGAAGCTCTCAGGCACACAGCAGAGTGGGCAGAAAGCCGGGACTCATAGTGACACTCTCCTCGGCAGTGCTTCTGCTCTGACGTATTTTCTATGACTAACTATACTTTTTTTTTTTTTCTAAAAATTATGGCTTTAGTCAAATATACAACATCTTACCAAATGAAGATTAAAAAATAAAATGAGACTAAGAATAATAACAAGCACTCTCAAAACAGGCAAAAATGATTAATTTTCCAAAGATTATAAAGCCCGAAATTACTGGACCTAATTAAGTGAACATGGTGCTCCTTATGAGATTTCTTAACCTGGCTTTGTTTTTTTTTTTTTTTTTTTGAGACAGAGTTTCACTCTTGTTACCCAGGCTGGAGTGCAATGGCGCGATCTCGGCTCACTGCAACCTCCGCCTCCTGGGTTCAGGCAATTCTCCTGCCTCAGCCTCCTGAGTAGCTGGGATTACAGGCACGCGCCACCATGCCCAGCTAATGTTTTGTATTTTTAGTAGAGACGGGGTTTCATCATGTTGACCAGGATGGTCTCGATCTCTTGACCTTGTGATCCACCCGCCTCGGCCTCCCAAAGTGCTGGGATTACAGGCTTGAGCCACCGCGCCCGGCCAACCTGGCTTTGTTAGTCAATTTTTTATGAAGTGAGGTTAAGCAGTCACGGGAGGGACATTACTGCCATCCACCAAATACATTTCTATTCAAGGCATCAGGTTCCCCCTATGATCAGGGGCATAAAACTGCGCCTGCATCAGCACCCAAAAGCCCAGCCGGCTGTGAGCAGTGGACTTACGCCCCGTGCACCGTTTCCAGTGCTCCTGCCCCACGGTCAGCAGCTCCTTCACTCCATCATCCATGGCCTTGGTGAACTTCCCGACGGCCTCACACTTCTGCTCTCTGTGGGCAAAGGCAGCCATCAGTCACATGAGCAGGAGAAACAGCACTGCTGTCGATCGGAGACACGCAGGCCAAACATAACCACAGACATTTGTTTTCCTGCATGGTAACAACTCCCCTGGCACTAAGTTAGCCTTAAACACAGGCTTGATGCAGATGTTTGAAGAACTACTTAAAAAGCAGTTATTATTTTAACTTTGCTTCCTTTCTTCCTCTTCAATTCTTGGCCAATTTTAATTATAATTATTCTAAAGTAAATAAAATAATAACTTCTTGAATATCTCATTTAGTAAAATTTCAATCACTGGAGGGACCATCAAATCCATAAAAGAATAACGGGGGTTGCTGATGCCAGCTGGTCATTCATTTCAAGTACTCCATGAAACAGACAATAACCTGGACGCATAATCAGCTAAGTGACCCTGAAGATACCAGAGTTCTTTATAAGGATGTCAAAGTGTATTTACCAACCTGAAAAGATCACAATATACTGTTAGATGAAAAAAGCAGATTATAAAACAAAATGGATAGTGTGAGGTCATTTTTGTTTAAACAATCTTTCCTATAATTGTGTACAGAGGAGGATTTGGGAGACTGTACACTAACATATTAACAGTGATTTTCTCTCTGGGTGGTTGAAGGGTTATGTTTATGTGTGTGTGTTTCTCGTCTATACTTTTGGTAACACATATGCAATAATTTTATGATAAACAAGCTTAAAATTAAAAACACAAATTTCTTATCAGTCCTTAATAGGAAAGGAACTACTCCAAAGTTTCAAGGAGTAGAATGTATTTAAAATGAGCCTGTATTTAAAAAAAAAAAAAAAAAAGAGCCTGTATTTAAAAACTAAATAATTAAAATCAATAGATTAAAAACAAAAAAAACATACAGAAAAAGCAGGTTAGAGACTGCCTCCTCAATGCCATGTTCAAAGAGATTTGCTGTCTGAATATCATGTGGGTTTTAGGCAGCTCTGTGCCCCTTGGTTTCATCACACTATTGGAAACAGCTCAACACCGTCAACTACGAAGTCACTGGCTTCAAGGTAAAAGAAGGAAGTTTAATCTGATGTTATGGTTAGAAAGACAGTACTTCTATGTACAAACAATATTTCCCTTGTCATTGGACTACAAATCCTGCTCATTTCATAAAACTCTAGTCTGACAATCTGAGTTTCAGCTGCGGCTATCCTGGCTGAGGCCTGAAAGGAGGAGGTTGCGGATTGAGAAAAAGGAAAACCTGGCAGCGCCTCTCACATTTCTACTAAGTCCAAGTCAGGTGCCTCTGGTTCCATGGTGGAAAATATCATGACTCCCGCCAGCTCATCTCTCTCAGCCTTCCTCTTTCCAGTTTTCCATTCCTGTAAATGAGAATGTGGTAATGTTCAAGTGGAGAGCACAAACTGGTCTCCAAAATTCCCCAACAGGACCAGTTCACTGATCACCTTTGTCTAATATTCAGAAAGCAGCTCCCACTCTATCTCCCTCTGCACCATGGGCTAAATACCTTTATACCCCAAATGTCATCTCAGGGCATGAACAGTGTCATGCCACAGAACGGCCCTTATGGGACCAAGTCTTTTGAGAATGAACCGATTCAGCCATGTTCCCTTTCCAGTGGCTATCTACATAAACATGGCAAACAGAAACACCCTATACTTTTTTTCTTTTCCTGAGAAAGGGTCTCACTTTGCCCTCTAGGCTGGAGTGCAGTAGCGTGATCTCAGCTTACTGTACCCTTGAACTCCCAGATTCAAGTGATCCTCCCACCTCAGCCCCCCAAGTAGCTGGGCCTTTAGGCACACACCCCCCACGCCTGGCTAATTTTTCTATTTTTTGTAGAGATGGGGTTTTGCCATGTTAACCAGGCTGGTTGGGAACTCCTGGGCTCAAGCAATCTGCTCACCTCGGCCTCCCAAAGTGCTGGGATTCCAGGCATAAGCCACTGGGCTCGGCCCACCGATGCATTCTGACCAAGTACCTCAAATGTTTAGGTTAACTGTTTTCTAAAAAGGTAAATGCTTTTCTAGAATATAAGCTAGAAACCAGTATTATGATCTATTTTTAAAAAAACATATTAAGGTATACACACACACAGGGTACCCAAAGCAAAAATATCCAGTGCAATGAATTGTCACAAAATGAAGACTTGCCTAACAACCACCTAGGCCAAGATGGAGCAAAGAGCTCCCTTCCAAAAGTCCCCCTCATTGTCCTTTCCCTAAGTACTGCTACCTCCTCCCCGCCCCCACACAAGGTAACTAATAATCCTTCTCTTGCGGCTTTCATTTCCTTGCTTTTCGGCTATGGTCTGAATGAGTTCACTCCAAAATTCATGTTTTGATACTTAATAGCCAATGTGATACTATGAAGAGGTGTGGCCCTTAAGAAGTGATAAAGTCACGAGGGCTGCTCCCCTTGGGAATGAGATTTGTGTCCTTATAAAAGGGCTTGATGGAGGAAATTTGTCCCTTTTTGCTCTTCCACTTTCCACCATGTAGGAACTCAGCATTTCTCCCCTTTGGAAGATGCAGCCCTCACCAACCACCAAATGCTGGTGCCTTGATCTTTGACTTCCAGCCTCTGTAAATGTGAGAAATAAATTTCTGGTTTTGATAAATTAGCCAGTCTCAAGTGTTCTGTATTTTGTTACAGCTGCACAAACAGACTAAGATACTTTGTTTAGAGTTTTAGCACCTAAACTCTTTGTTTAGAGTTTTAGCACCTGACCTGTCTTGCTAGTTTTTCAAGCTAGCACCGAACCCTAAACACATTCTTTGGCGTCTGGCTTCTTTTGCTCAATCTTGGTTAGGAACTACAGTCACATTCTTGTGTAGAACTACAGTTCATTCATTTCACTGCTGTATAATATTCTACTGTATGAGGAATCCCCAATTTATTTATCCATTCTACTACTAGTGGCCACCCTTATCAAGTTATGAATACAGCTGTTATGTACATGTCTCCTGGTGTCTGTGTGCATGCATTTCTATTCAGTATACACCCAGGAGTGGAAATGCCGGGTCATAGGAGGGGTTCAACCTTAGTAAATGCCAAACTTTTCCAAACTGGTCTTACCAATTTCCCCCAAGATGTTATGAGTCCCAGCAGCATCTCACCGCACCAAGATGACACTTGGTCTGATCAGTTTTAGCCATTCTGGTGAGTGTGTAGTGGTATCTTGCTGTGGGTTTTAATTTGTATTTCTTGATTGCTAATGAAATTAAGTACTTTTCTATACATCTGTTGTTGATCAGACACCTTATTTCCTGAAATACATTATCAAATCTCCTATTTTCTACTGGGCCTATCGATGTTTTCAAATATTCTAAAATCTAGCCCTTCACTGCTTATATATGTTGCAAGTATCTTCTACTCAGTAGCATGTTTTTTTGCTCGTAATGGCTCTGCTGAAAAAAAAGTTCTAATGTAGTCTATCCACATCTTTCCTGCATGGTCTTTTTCATGTCATATTTCAGAAATACTTCCCTGCTCTCTAGGATATGAGGATGTTCTCCTACGTTATCTTCTGTAAGCATTACTGTGCTGCTTTTCACATTTAGATCTGTGAACCACATGGAAATCATTTTCCAAAAAACTTTATACAATGAAAACTTTCAAACATATACAAAAGAGAAAAGTATAATAAACCTCTACAGGTTCAGTTTCGATAATTATCAACACTTTGCCAATCTTTTTTTTAATATCAATAGTTTAGTGTAAGAGATATGGAAGTCATTTGCAGGAGGAAGTCTTTCAGCTGTGATGGCACGGGCAGCTGCATGTGATGCCATTTCAGTAGGGACTTACTTCGGCTTACACACTTTCCAAGAATGGCACCACCTCTAAATAAGAAATGACCCTTACCTAGAACTACTTTAGTGCCTACATATTCTGGGAGAACTTTAGCTTTCAAGCTAACTGGTTAAGTCTTTCCACCCTTACCTTTAAGGTCTGATCCAATAGCTACTACTGTTGCTTGCAATACTTTTGAGATTTTTTCAACCAATACTCAAAGAGTGAAAGGAACTTTCTAAATGCCTGTCTGCTGTGACTTCACAGGAGACCCACAGCTCAATCTTTAGCACATGTGGCCACAGGAAAAGCCGCCCAGGCACTACTGTTCCCTGGGAGATGCCAGTCTTGTTTCATAGGTACTCTCTTCCATTCTACCTCTGGGATGTTTTTTCTTACTTTAAAGCTAATTTCAAATATAATACACACACACAGACACACAAAATATATATATATATATATGTACACACACATACGTATATATATTTGAGACAGAGTTTTGCTCTGTTCCCCAGGCTGGAGTGCAGTGGCACGATCTTGGCTCACTGCAACCTTCACCCCCAGGTTCAAACGATTCTCCTGCTTCAGCCTCCCAAGCAGCTGGGATTACAGGTGTGTGCCACCAAACCTGGTGAATTTTTGTATTTTTAGTAGAGACAGGTTTTTGACATATTGGCCAAGCTGGTCTCGAACTCCTAATCTCAAGTGATCCATCGCAACTGGCCTGGGTCATGTTTTAAAAACATAATAATATCAGTAACAGCCCTAATAAAATAAACTGCAGATTGTAGTGAGGTAGTGAGCACATTTCATTTCCCTGCGGTGTGCCATCCAACTGACCCAGCACCAGTTACTGGAAAGACTATCCTTTCCCTACTATGCTCAGTGCCATCTTTGTCACAGATCAAGCGTCTACTCTGTTCTGCTCCACTGGTTGGTTTGTCTAGCCTCATGCCGACACCATGCTTTTAAAGTTTTTAGCTTCACAATGAGTTCTGATACGCAGTGAAGTTCTCCTCCTACTTCATCCTTTCCCAAGAGCATCCTGGCTATTCTTAGCATTCTGATTTTCTACATATGACATCTTTATTG